GAAAATAGTAGATCAAGGAAACAAGAGCACGCGGGTAAAATACGATAGCATGATCAGTGACAAACAACATGAGAAAAGGAAGTAGTTATTTATCACAGGTTTGGAAGCAGTTCCAAGGAGTTTCAGTAGTTGGGTTGACTCAACAGCAAAACACCGGCTGACCAGCAATATACGAAAAATAAAAGATGATGTAATAAAATTTCCTGGAAAGCATTTGAGAGATTTAGATCATTGGGTCAAAAAATAACCACTATAATGAAACATAGAAAACAACTGTTACCAAGGTAAACTTGGATGAATTATGGTTTCTTTATGTATTCAATTCACGTACATTATAACATTATAACAAGTTACTCACTTATTATGACTATAAAAACACTCGTCTTATTTCCCATCTGATTGTATTTGATGAATAACACTCAAATTATTATTATTTCTGAATGTACAAAATCCCATATTGATTTTTATTCAAATGTCTAATCATCAGTTCCACTCATGTATATAAATGAAGCAAGAAAGTTGTGTCAGTATTGCGTTGATATGATTATGTGTAGTAATAATTTGTGCTCTAAACGGGGTCATCAGTTAATATCACTGTGTAACACTGTGTGACTTATCAGAATAAAATCTTATCCATAATGGAGTTAAACTCTACCGGTCGGTCGGTCGGTCGGTTTTCGACATAGAACTTTGCACAGATGTGCGGCAGTTCAAGTCGCCACACTCCCTCCATGTAGCACACAAAGCAAGAGAAGAAAGTAGGAGAAATGCATATTAGAGACAGTAAACATTGGTGTGAGACAAAGGAATAGTAATATCGAAGAACAAAACAGTTTCATTGGAAATCACAAGTGACAAGAAACGGCGTAAACTGGCATATGCGAAACTAGCCCTCTGTATTCGTGCTGAGATTTCGTCAGAGATCAACCCGTAGGGACTGACTGGTGGTACTTCTCAAGTTAGTGAAGCGGTCAACGTGCTCTACCACTTCACTTCCTATTTCTAATCTAGGGGTCGGTGTAGTCCAATCCTGCAGCATCATCTTACATTCCTCGCCTAGAAGGACTATATCGTCTGCATATTCTAAGTCAACGAGATTATTCCTTGGTAGCAAGTCAATCCCTGAGTGGCTGAAGTGTGTTAGGGTTAAGTCCATTAGTACGTCTGTGATGAAATTGAATAGGAATGTGGATAATGGGCATCCTTGACGGACGCCACTATTCGTCACCACTTCAGATGACAACTCGCCATAAGCCCTCACCTGGCTGATGGCATGAGTACGAGTAGAGTGCCTTGATCAGTGCAATGTATTTTCTCGGGATTCCCTTTACAGTCAAGCATCGCCAGAGAACCTCTTGGTCGACAGAATCGAATTCCGTCTTTAGGTCAAGAAATATAATGATTGTCGGACGCCGGTAGGAATGCCTATGTTCTATAATCTGTTGAAGGGTGAAGATATGATCAATACACCCTCTTCCTGGCCTGAAACCTGCCTGGTTTTCTCGTGTTTGTGCCTCCCGAGCACCACTTAATCTGCGCAGTAATATTGAGCTCAAGTTTTATACTTTTATCAATAATTCATATTTTCGGTTTCAAAGTCGCTTATTGGTAACAGATTCAGAAAAATGAAGCTAAATTGGATATCTCTGATTTTTCATAATCTCAAATGCAGTTGGGATCTCCACTGTGTGTCACCATTCGATTGGATGTCAGCCAACGGTTCTTATAGTCTCTGGCTTTTGGCATATGTTCGGAGAGGCGAATGGATGTCCACCTTTGCGTGGTTTCGATGTAGTAACTCTGGCACGTAACATTTAGAAATGATTTCTGATGGGCACTTGTCCCCTTTCGATTGACAAAATGCATGACACGTGATGCAGACGGGAAGAAGTTTATCTATTGTTACTCTTAATATCTTGTCTATTCGATGTGGCAGATCATCTCCTCCGAAGATGAGCTGGATAAATATAGCTTTCTTGTGAACTACATTGCTATGAATGAATTTCAGTAAGCAGGTACTCCTCTAACTTCTTAGTCGCGCAAACTAAAGCCAGTTCCACATCAGTCAATCTGAAGTTGAACCTACAATTTCTGTGGTGGACATACACCGATAGTGTCACCTATGTCGTTTCTTGTGACTACTTCTGAATACCAACTTATGTTCCTGTCAATCTGTACTTGTGCGTGTCCTTCTAAATTATTCCTTGGATTGCGTGAGAAAATTTTCAAGAATATAAATAACAGTATGTTTGATTGGTTTTTTATATGAATTCCCAGTTGTCTATTTATAAGACTGTGTGATTCATAGAAAGTGGCTGTTCTGGCAGAACATTTTGTTGACTGTGTTATGCCTTCTTCTTTACCATGGCTTTTTTATGTTTTCGACATTCATTTCCACTCACATGCAGATTGAGTATGTTTCCCGGTCCTCCTAGGCAACATTTGCAGTATTTCCTTCAATGTTCCTGGTCATCAAATCAAACGTATATGACTTATAATTATGTGGGTCAGGCATCATTATTACTTGACCGTCACAGTGTTATCCACCGTCATATCATTAAATTCATCATAGAATATGAATATAACGATGAGTTCATTTCCCCGGTTCTTAATGTGAAAAGAAGAAACTATGGTACTGTCGAAAGTCCCTCTATAGAGAAGGAACATTGGCCGGATATTATCTTCATTATAATAACTTCTGCCTCATAAACTGTGAGAGTCATTTACAGGGAACATTGTACGACAGAGTCAGGAAATTGTTTTCGCTCAATAAGGCGGAAGAAGAATAAAGATTTATCGAGAAATGCCTATGGGGAAGTGGATATCCAAGGGGATTCATCCTAAAGTATAGCAAAAAAGCACTGACTCCACCGTCAGTATTTAAATTCCAAGGGAAAATATACAAACAAACTGAGGTAGTTGCCATGGGATCACCAATATCCTAAGTTGTAGCAGATATATTCATGGATAGTTGGGGGAACATAGCGATTGAAACGTTCAGTCCCACCCCAAAAGTATGTTGGAGGTATGTAGATGAAACATTCACTGTACTTAGAACACAAGATTTCGATAGATTCTTTGAACACATCAACTCCAACGTAGAGGCAATTCAATTCACTTATGAATTTTAAAATCTAATGTCACAGGGTGGAGGGAGAGATTGATAACAGAAGCTGTGTTTACCGATTCAACTGAGAGAGAGAATACGTGTAAATGCAATGATTCAAGACCTATCCACCCAGATATCTGGAAAATCCTACCACCCCAACGACGACAAATAGGAGAGAACAAAGAAAACTAAAAAACTCAAGTTTCGAAGTCGTGTGATTACAATTGATGAATTGATTATGAACCACAATAAATTTTGTTCGAAACATTGTTATCCAGTAAATAATACTGTTCCTTCACTGTGTGATACGTCTAATAAACAAACTAATATGGAATTACCATGCTCATAGCAATTCCAACTACGTTTGTGAATTTACGTGCAATGGAGGTGGCACACAAATCTTATATTCTATTGTAAATCTATTTAAGTATATTATAAGCATGATCAAAAAATGAAAACAAGATTTTTCGGAATGTTTAACTGTGCAAGTCGCCTCTTCTTCAGTGAAATTACTCGGATTTCGCCCAACGAGTTCACTTTCAATTATGCACTCCCAATAGTGACTGAGTGACTGTACTACTAAAAACTTTTGCACCTTTCAAAATTGCACAATTTCCTTGGAATATGCATGATTATGCGGTCATAAAACATTTTTTTCTGTTTGTCCAATGCACGTATGTACTTGGTGACATACGCGTAAATGAGTAATAATGTGGTTAGAGGAGGCAGAACGGAAGGGGAACTTGTCAACCTTAGATTGTCTCATTGAGAAATTTATTTGATAAAATTCGGTATTCAATTCTCCCAGATAATTCATCAAAACCGAGAACTCTTACACTGTGACACTGTGATACATATTTTATTGCTTATTTCGCCTATCTAATAATGTATGATTTCTATCCCTGTTGCTCGAATATTCTTGTGACATTTCCATATGTATGAATAAACCGCAACCAGGCATTAATACGAAGCAAAACAAGCAGTTCAGTGCAGGAAACACCCTTTTTGGCGGATTCACTTTCTTTGGCTGTACAATCGCCCTCATTTGTATCCAACCTCTTCGTCACAATAAAGAGTAGTAGCAGAAGGGATGAGTGGTTACAGTTGTTAATATTATTGATCAACGCATAAAAGAAGTCGAATAAATGTGGGATGGATAAATGTAATGGGATAATGAATGAGTTGTATTGACAAGAAGCATAGAAACGAAGGGGAATGTGATAGGAAGTAACAGTTCGCAAGAAACAGAAGAGTTAGAAGGAGTTAGGAACAACCAACTTCCGGACAGTGCGTCGGTGGTACAATGGTCAGCGCACTCACTGGCCATGCACATGGTCCGGGGTTCGATTATTGCACCAGCGATGCATTCATTTACCTCCCTAAGCCAGAAATAATGCTGGTGAAGAAGAGAGGTTGTGCATGAGGCTAGCAATCCCATCCTGTAAGAATAAGCACTGCTACAGGAACATTTAGCCACTAGCTTGAAGCCCTATATTCCACTGGGAAACGTCAAGGAAAAGGAAACTTCCAGACACCTGTAGTTACTTCCTTTCAACTTCTCGGGTATTCAGATAAGTAAGACAGAATAATGTTCTCCACCTTCGAATTAACTATTTCAAGTATTTTACGAGTTGATCACGGACTGATATCAGTTAGAGAACCATTGAAAACCAAGGAGTACTGGACAGCTGGTTTTCAATGTTTCTCTAACTGATATCAGTCCGTGATCAACTCGTAAAACATAACTAATCCTTACAAACCAAACTATAGAAGTAACTAACTTACTCATAAATACATTCTGTGGACTATATACTTCTTTATTTCTACTATCATTTTATCAATAATAAATTAACACAGGTTTGGTTATGAAAATGCAATTTTCCTCGGTGGAATGTCATTCGATATTAAAAGATTAAAACAAAAATCTGAAAAATCTATTGAACTATTGAATCATTTAACTCAGAAGTCTGTAAATCTGCTGGATACATCAGTTTCTCGGGAGTTCTATCTACAGAAAAGAGACTTAGATTATATTTCAAGTGAAAGATCATCGATCAGTCTACCGTCAGTTATAAATATTGACGATTTTTCAAAACCTCAGTGGTATTATTTACTTGGAAAAAGTTCTTGTTATCGTCGACATATGTCAGTTGTTCTAGCAGCAAGTTTGTCTAAGGGTAGTGAGTCAGAGAAGCTGTCATTCCTTGCCTCATCCAATTCGCATACGGAATCACTGACATCTGAAATGAATAAAGTTATGAATCCGTCTGCTAGTGTTTCGACAATATCTTCTTTACATGGATGCGATAATCGAGACTCTGGACTATGTCATTCAGGAGATTTAAAGAGACTCCAGGTGAGTATATTGTTCATATTAATTGAATTCATCTGATTATCTTTTTGGCCATGTGGCTCACTAGCGCTTGGTTTTCAGCCATGTTCGAACCCCACCCACTCTACCTGGACACTTAGGCAGTATCACCAACTTTCCTGCAGTAAAAAGTGTGACTCACAGCCCGGAATATGAAAAGACCAGTTTCGGGAACTGAGTTTGAAATTCTTCCACTTTATTTACTTTACAAACACAGTATTATTACTTTTATTTATCCTTCACTTTGTGAGTGAAACTTGGAGCTCCAGCATCGCATCGTCATGGCACTTGACCTTCTATCATCAATTTTAACCAGCTTCACGGCTGCCCACAAAAGTAATGTCTACTCTACAGACGTCTTGCTCTGTCTGTTATCTTCGGATGTTCAACTTGTTGCTTCCTAATTTGGTTCCAACTTAAAGCCTTGTCTGTGATATCACATGAAGATGTCTTCAGCCTATTTCCTATCCATCTCAATTTCTTTCTGCATTTGTGTTAGATACCTCTGTCGGTGGCACAGTGGTTAGGACTGTCGCCGACCAAGCACATGATCCGGGTTCGATGCCCTGCTGACGCACACCTGATATCAATGGTTGGCCTACAAAATTTGGGATACCGATATCACATGCTGAAAATTTCATACTTGTACCAAAAATACTGTGTGGAATCAAGCTATAATCAAAATTTTTTTTAAAAACTAATAAGCTCTTGATTAATTCGCTGCCAGAATTCTTTTGGTCATCCGGTCTTCAGTATCGATATTATATGTTTATTTAAACGCAGAAAAACTTGGTACAATATGGCACCAAGAAAGATGCGCCACAGAATATTGTGTGAGGGCTGAGATACTGCCCGGGCGCCCAGACCGAAGCAGGTGGTTTTCCTAAGGGACCACCCCCGAGCCTTTGACTTGGAGTCTAATCCGCAAGGCAGCGGAGCAGCGTCAGGAGCTGCGTTCCCATGGCTGCCGGTGACCCATATGGGTTCATACGCCATTTGATCCGATTGAATTCTTGAGCCCATGCACTCCATGGTAACTGCTTTCAGTCTAACCGCTATCCAAACAACCTTCCTGACATGGTAGGACCTGCAGGGACATGAGTCCCAGCCAGTTTAGCTTGTTGGTTCACTGCGGCATTCAAGCCCGACCACCACGGTAAGGTAGCAGTTATCGGTCGGGGTTCAGTATCGAAGCAGCGAAGGTAGATGTTGGTGAGAGTGCTCACTAGCTTGCAGGAAACCCTCTTAATGAACCACGTGGAAGCACTGATTTGACATTTGTGTCAAAGACTTACATCTCGTTTCTTGCGCTTATTGTTATGTTTCTCCACGCCGATTTCAACGTACCAAACGTAAGTATCTTAGATAGATCATCTACGCCATTAATATCAAAGGTAGTTATTTTCTACAGCTCCACTGATCGATTGTCACATTGTAATTTTGAGGCTATTTATTTGAATCTCACCGCAGCTTCGATTTCAGCAGTCACTTCACAGTTCTAAATTAGTCTTCAACAAGCATTTTAACTCCACTAATCTATCCTCACTATCAAATATTTTCTGTGCATTTTTGTACTTTGCCTCAAATTACAGATAACTATCCCCAAGTCGGATTCAGGTTATGGTTTCACACTGACTGCTCAAATGGCAGGATTCAATCTTCAGCAGTTTGCAAGTACACCACTAACATCACCGACAACGAATCAAACAACATTGTTTAGTGAAAACAATAACAGCCTACCAATGCAGAGATTATTTCGTATTCATTCCGTAAGAAAAAATTCACCAGCTGATCTAGCTGGCTTACCAGTTGGTGCTTATCTCCTGGGGATTGGAAATCAACCTTTGGATTGTACAATTACACTGAAAGAAGTTGTCAGATGGATGTATGAAGCTGCAGAAAGTCATCCAGATAAAGCGGTAATTCTAGACATTGGAGTACCTAGTTGTCAAACAGAATTACCATGTAAGTTATATATATATGAGTGAAATGTGAGGAGAAGTTTAATTACTTTAATGCGAATACATTTTATCTTCAGAAGACTTTTGAAATAAACACTATACTAAATAGATTTATGTACTAGACGCATGTGGAAATATGTTCTGGTGTAGTAAAATTCCCAAACACTTAACTTATAGGTTTTAAATGCCTACTAATATTGTTGCTAGTCACTTTCTTACGAACATAATACTCCGGGATGTGACTTTGCATTTGCTTTTTCATGTTGTCCCAGTTTAATAATATTTCCACTAGATAGACATTCCTAGAAGCTTTAATCAAACGTTAATGTATCTGTGAAGTGGTGCGTTGGCATTGAGGGAGTTGACGAAGATGCTGTAGGATGCTTGCCAACTATGCACACGACTCAAGGTTCCATTCTCGACTGGTGTACTCATTGACGGTTTAGGCGGCAGTAATCGCAGTAAAGATGGAAGGTTGGGCGTGTGAGACTAGCACCCTCACTCCCTAAAAAACCATCACTGCTATTGAGACTTCAGAGCTCCACCTTCAGGTCCTATGTCCCACTTGGAACGCAAAGGAATTCATGTGGCCTATTCTCGCTTAGGAGAACCATGTTCTCGACTAGACTATACATGTAAACATATCAGTCTTATTTAGCCTGGTAAGATGACATTTATTGCAAACTAGTTTAAACGGGGATTAACTGCTTTAGCGGAATTCTACGATATATTCCAGGTTATATGTACTGCTCCTATTTTCATTGCCCTGGAGATTGTTTATTATTACTTTTTATTATAACCCCTTGTGTCCGCCCTTATGCTTCGAATTTCCAGTAAAAGTGGTGTTCATTTATTTTAGCGGGGTAGGGTTGCTAGTTTTGCATCCGACTTCCCTTCTCTACTGTGAGTATAAAGTGGGTTAAGCAAAGTTAAGGAGAATGTCGGATGGGAGTCGAATCCCGGACCACGTGGTTGGTTGACGAGTATTCTAATACAGGACCACCGATGCACAGCACTGGAGATCCATCCTCATAAATTGTAAAGTAATGAACCACTCTGACTTTGAAGTCTTGTTTTATGGAGAAAGCGTTTTCAATCTAGCGGGTCTATTCACAGTGATTTACTACTCCTAAGTCGATTATTCCAGTGCGTCGGTGGCGTAGCGGTTAGAACGCTCGCCGACCATGCACATGGTTCGGGGTTCAATCCCCGGCCGAACAGCGATCATGCACAACAGATTCTGTCTCTCCTGTCACTTCATCGGCTTCTTCGATTTTCCCTGCCTTCTCAACCAATCTGATTGTAGATCATCTGTCGAAATATTTGCCACTGAATCTTTCCATCATTCCTATTACCACCACTATTATTATTATTATTATTATTGGTACTACCGCTACTATCACTTCATGATTTATAATTTTCTTCAAAATTAGATAAGATTTTTTTCTATTTATTCCTTTACTTACTTAACCTTACTTCACAAGAACTGACCATGTGACCGGTTTCACTCCCTTCATTAATCAGTCAGCAAGCAACAGTGCGCTTTTTACACTTCACTTATACACCAGCATAAAGCTGAACACAGATGTGAAAAGTCAAGTTCGAGTTCTTATATAAACACTGTAATTAGAAGTGTGCTGTATACTTTATTTCATTATAATTAACATACTTTTAAAATGATAAGTTTGTTTGCATAAAGAATACACTGGGAAACTGAACTTACCTCTTTGTTCCTCCTCTTATTAGAATGATGATAGCACTATCGCTCTGGGGTAGTTTATTTCACACCTCCATGTTAACTAGGCCGACGCACTCCTTTACCTCGCTAAGCCAGAAATAATGCTGGTGAAGAGGAAAGGTTGAGCATGAGGCTAGCAACCCCATCCTGTAAAAATAAACACTGCTACAGAAACTTCAAGCCACTAGCTTGAAGCCCTATGTTCCACTGTGGAATGTGAAGGAAAGAAAAAGAAAAAAAGAAAAGTCGATTATTCCAGTGTGGTAGAGATGTATAGGGTTATATCTCAATTTAGTAATATACCAAGTTGATAGGTGATTCTAGATTATATATACATATATTTGATGTATTTCTATGTTTTAAATTTGTGTCTTTGCAGCTCAGAATAATTCTAAGCTAAGATTTAGTGAAAAATTCAAATTTATGGTCTCTTCTGGTAGACACAATCAAGTAAAGGAGAAACCAGATATGAATAATAACAATAATTATAATAATACTTGTTTAAATGACAACACGAACTCTGTCAACAGTCATAACAACTCATATCCTTTATCCAATGGCCAGTGTACAACAGTTAAACAGTCAATAACAGAATCAGTCGATACAGGAAATACATCCAGTAATCCATATCTTCCTCGAACAGTTACTCCTGCCAGTACAGTTATGCTATGCGAAGAACGTTGTATTGATGAAGATCTTATGAATGATGAAACTATCAGTAATCTACAAAATAGAAACGAAAGTAGCAGTTTGAGTAGACGCCGACGTATGCTAACACTGGCGCCACCAATACTCAAACTTAAATGGCAAGATGTTTGTTTGGATGAAGCGAATCGACAGTGGGCAGTTGAAAGATTATTAACTAAACTGACAAATACATCAAATGACTTAATGAATGGCATAAAAGCTTATCGTACTGGTCTACAGAATATTGCCAACTTTCATCCAGATGATTTAAATGCATTGTTTCATAATATTGTTGAAGTGAGTCAACTTAGTTGTTACGTAACTATTATACTATTATTATTATTATTCCCTTGGGTCCCGAGTGGAACACAGGGGCTTCAGCAGCACATCTCCATTTGCCCTCTTTTCTCTGTTCTTTCTTGGCTGGCTACAGGTAGTACGTACTCGGTTGTTTTTTTCCTTAAGCTGAAAAGTTCTGCGTCCTTCTGAAAGGCATTTTGAGCGTTAACTTCAGTGTGGAGTGAGCTTTATGAATTCTGCACACCACCCGAGGTCACTAGGCTAGACGAACATTTCATCCGTAGATAATTTTCAAAAGATTCACTTCACATTAAAGTTATCCCTGTAGGCGACCAGAGAGGAGAAAATGAAAGCTTGTCAGTTAAACCATCCAGGTCAGAAAATACAACAATACTTCTTGTTTCACTAAAAATAGGATTTATTTATTTATTTAAAACACCAACATGATACACATCATGGCCACCAAGAGAGATGTGCCACACCGAAATAACAAATCTAAGATATATACAAAGAAGCAAGGGATAGAATGACTGATGGAGGTCATCCAGAAAGCAAGCTAGGGTATTTATCAAGAACATTCACCACTCACTGCTGCACAGTGCCTTCAGAAAGGGAAGAAAGAAGTTAACTGCAGACAGTTCGTCACTGATTGCAATTCTTGTCGACATCTGACAAGGTTTGTAGCCAGCGATTTGAACTATCTCTTGGATTGCAATAGGGAGTCGTGACGTACCACTTGATACTAACCTAGACGAAATATCCTTCATCCCACGACTACATGTTATAAGCTGACCACCTCTGTGCAAATAGTGACCAGTACGGGAACTTCTGGAATGATATTTGTGGTACATGTGTAATCAGTCGAAGCATGTGTTTCAAGATGACTACACCCAATGAATGGTGACCTCCACTGTGTCCAAACACACGCTTCCAGACCTCATAATTACTTACATGATGATGCCATCGTATGCAAGCAGTTCTACGGCGACATTGATGATCGAGGATGCAGAGTCGCTGCACAAATATGATTTATTGTTTAAGCTATTCAGCTTTTAGTTAGTACTGACATTTATTTGTAATTGTGAATAGACTAACCCCAGGTTCATGGACAAAACGGTAAGGAATGATGTTAGTATCTGATTGTTTTAACTTCGGTATAAGTTTAGATTCCAACATAAGGAGGTTGAAAATCGCTCGCTTGGACTATTTTGCTATAGCTTCTTGTACATAACAGCTAGTGAGTAATAACTATGAGGTAGGCAACTACGACCGTTGATTATCTCATATAAAAACTGCTAAATGTTGTGTGGAAAACAAAATTCGACTGGATCATTTAGTTGTACTCTAATTATTAGCATTAATCTTTTTGTGTGATTGGTGAGCTGTATTTTACTTCTCACCTACCTGGGAAGCATCGTTTCAACTACAGGCGGAACTGACGAGAATATCAAAGCAAGAATCGGAAAAGCAAGACAAGCTTTCACTACTCTCAAGTCTGTGTGGAGGAGGTCAACAGCATTCAGCATGAAAACGAAGATAAGATCCGGATTTTCAACTCCAATGTGAAGTCAGTGCTACTCACGATACGGATCAGAGACTTGCACTGTGCGTCATAAAGAGCATCTCTAAACAAACTACAGACCTTCATTAACAGTTGTCTTCGCTCAATACCACTCAAGATCAGATGGCCGGCCAGAAAAGATCAGCAACAAGGAGGGATCTCTGGCAATGAGCGAACCAACTCAGCAGGAACTGATTGTGAAACAAATAGGCAGGAAGAAATGGAGATGGATTGGCTGGCCATACTCTGAGAAAAGAAACCATCAAGTGACATCACACGACAGGCCATTGCTCGATTGGAACCCGAATGAAAGGGAAGCGGCGAGTTGGTCGTCAGTGCGAGGTTGGGTGACTTGGAGGAGATCAAGTGAAGATGAGATGAAAGCGTGTGGTCAGACTTGGAGCCAGGTGAAGACTCTAGCAGAGAACCGAACGCAATGGAGACGCACGGCTGAAGCCCTATGTTCCTCTAGGAATTTAAGGAAACAATAATAATAATAATTTTACTTCTCATGTTTGTGAATGTTTTGAGCCTTAAATTTTGTAAACAGATTTGTATATTCAGAGGATGAAAACTATTATACTTATATCGAAACCAGAGCGAACATTTCTAGACAACTGACAGTAAATTGTACAGTAAATAATGATCTCTTGTATTTATTTATTGATTTCACTTGTGCTTAGATTGGCTCTGAAACGTGTAAAATGAAACAAAATCTGCAAAATGGTTGTCTGCCGTACGATGTTTCAACTATAACCTCGTCTTCATCAGATCCACCTGCTAGACAGTATGCAATCAATAATAATAAGAGCAAATCAAGATTTTCAATATCTTCAACACCATCTCCATTATTGCCTCTACGGAATGATTCTTACAGAGGGAACAATACTAATACTCTTACCAATAATAATAATAATAACAATAATAATACTAGTTTACTTAATGGGAAAGATAAACTTGATGAATATAGAAGGAATAGCAGTGGTACTATTACGAATTCTAAGAATAACAGTCATACTACACAAAACGGTGGTATACACAAACGACTGTCGTTTTTGTTTAAATTACGTAAAAGTACCGTTAATCGAGAAAGCAAACCAAATGATGGCGACGACAATATTAATAACAATAATAATAATAAAGCAAGGCAGCTATCAGAGGGTTTCAAAAGTGACACCAGTGCTACTGAACAGCTTTGTCAGCAAGACGAACCAAGGAAGCAAACGATGATTACACAACAAGATCCATCATCATGTAATCATCAATTGAACCCATTGAATCCACCTATACATGGTCATTTGGATAATCCTGGTACAATTATTTTAATGTCTCTCAGTGATCTGTTACACCAGTGTATGGATTATACAAATGTTTATCCGGATCGTTTGAAGTATATTCATCAACTTAGAAAACATTTTCCAGAGTTACGATTATTTCTCAAGGTTAGTAATACCGTATTTTTTTCTGCGGGGGGGGGTGCTAGGGGGATAGAGATTAGCTTTGATTGAAGTATTTACTGTTGTAGATACTACCTGCAATTTTGTTCACTAGGATAAAAAATTCGGCAAAGTTAAACTTTCAACACCAGTAACAACCAATCAGCAAACGACCTTGAACCGACCAATCACATGAAAGAGGCGTTTATGATAAGCGGAAACGTATGTTTATAGAAAAATGCATAAAAAGTGATAAAACGGTTACAATGGGTATCTTTTCCGAACATGGGGGAGAAACATTTCCTAATTCAGCATGGGACTGTCAATAGAGAGGTCGCACCACATTCTATACATTTATTAATCTAAATGACTATAAATGAGATCCTTTTGAGATCCATTTATAGCCCTTATCCTATTTTTCAATCGACCCCAAAATCGTTCACCAACACTGTCTAATCCACATGGACTATTACGTCGTCCCCGCCTAGCAACGAAGTAATTCTGTCCATTTTCCATTAGGCGATGTCCCTGCAGTGCTGGTATACCACTGAACTGTCGAGACGGAGGCTGTTCTCCGTCTCGGCAGCAGTACCCAGTAAATGAAAATGTACAGAATATGGGCTAGGGAGAGATGCGACCTAGCAAAATTTCCCATGAAATATTACCCTCTCTAATACTAACTCGCTACCAGCATATTCCACAACGATGTACAAAACCATCAGTTGACCTAGTATAGCTTTTTAGAGTCATTACACCACCACACGAACAACTTCTCTCTATTCGAAGCAAGCCTAAGTCCAGGCAATACTGAAAGACACTATCCTCCTAGAATTGCAAACGTAACCGTGTAAGGGCACGCATTGAAATGAATCAGGCGCTATACAACATTGAACTACGTTCGTGAATCTCATTGGATAATTTGATGTCGTTCGCTGATTGGTAGTTATTGGTGTCTAAAGTTTAACTTGGCCGAAAAGGCTTTTCTGCTTTTCTGCTAAGGTATAAACGCAATAATTGATTTTGAAAGTACAGTTCATGTGTAGGAATTCAAAGAGACAGTATGTCATACTTCTTTTGACTATGAGTTCGAGGAGAAACTTTAGCATGTATCTGTTTTTTTTTCATGTTATCTGTCTTTGTGATTTATTTGAAACGTTATTTCTAATTTATATTTAACTTGGTGACTCTGACAATTAGTACAACACTGATCGAACAGGGCAAGTCAGTTGTTGATATTATTGAAATGCAAAAAAAATCTTCTCTGGTCATATAACATCCCTCATCACACAATGGTATATAAGTTAGGTGTAGTGTGCTAGTAGATTCAAGAGACTTGAAACGATAACTCCAATGGTTAAAGTATTTGCCTATGGTATTTCTATTGGCACTGTATATTAAGAGAAGGCAGAAATTTGATTTCATGGGTCTGAGAACTTTATCCCAGAGTGATTGGATAGTCAACGGTCAAACTTTGTAACGTAATGCCCCTGGGTGCATGTTTCTGAAAAGTCCTAATCTACAGCGAAACAGATGTCTAGAACTCTCTTAGTCTCAGGTGTCAAATCTCTGTGAACCAACTCTTGAGAATATGAAACAATAATCTTGCTGACAGGTCAGACTCGTACCTCACTAGTTAATAGTGCTCCGGCCTAGTAATCCAACAGTCATCACCAATCATATCATTGGCGGTCTACCACCCTAAAGCTGTATGCAAAATAGTTTTACCATCAGTTTATTTTTTACATTAAATCGTTTTGAATTAATTGATTATTCTAGCAATTGTGTAACTGTAAAGTAGTAGCCAATGATTGTCATGATTTTCATCTTGGACATGATCGGAAATTCTTTATTCTCTGAAATTGTTGGTCAGCTATATTCAATATATATAAATATATATATATGGATATATATATATATAGGGTGCAACAGGTTGAAGGTAAAGCAGTAACTCATCTAAGAAGACATTGCGAAGTAGTCGCGCTATGTCATGAATTGGCAGAAGTTAGAATTCACGGGCCATTGGGTCACGTCCCAGTGGCTTAATGGTCAACGAGTTCACCTTGTAACCAGAAAGTGCTGGGTTTGAACCCCAGCTGGTGTGTACTGCTGAAGAGTCCCAAACCAGAACGAAACAGTCGTCCAGTACTCCCCAGGTTTTTCAATGGTTCTCCAACTTATATCAGCTCATGATGAAATCATCCAACACATCAAACAAAATCCCTACAAAACCAGTACTTGAAAATATTTATATCTACCAATAGATTATCGATCTGAAATTATTGATTATTGTTTATTATCTTTGAAGAGTTCGCCCTTAAGGATACTGACTCTATTTTGACCACGTATTTAGTCGGGTGTCCGAAGAATCTTAAAAATGCCTTTTATAGGTTTGAAATATTTTTCCTAGTACACTTCACTAGTTACTTGTCTTCATTTTCTTCAAATAACTAACAAATGCTTAATTGAATTTTAGATTTTCCCGTCGATCGATTGGACCGAAGTGCTCGGCCTCAGCAATTTCGTCCAGTCAATCGACGGGAAAATGTAAAATTCATTTAAATAATTAATTTGACCCGTTGCACAAGAGGTGGCTCTCGTGGCCCAAGTGGTCTATTGGGTAACACTTTGGCGTTTCAAACTAAGGGCACTGGGTTCCAGCCTCTGTGCGAGCATCATCACTCACTGGGGAATTCTGTCTGTCTGTCTGGATTCAACATAGAACTTGGCACCGAAGTGCAGCAGTTCGAGTTGCCACGTTCCAAATAGCACACAAGGAAGACAAGAAGATGAGTAAAGAGAATCAATAGAGTTTTGACAAGTATAAGAGTGAAACAGAATGAGTAATGGTAGAAAGGAGTATGAAGGTTAAAGAGACTGAATACATCTGCGCCATTGACAACGATTTTGAGCCATGTCACTGGGGAATTCAGATACATCCACTAGCTGACGAGTCCGAAACAGGACGAAATGAGCATCCTGGATTCCACTGCTAGTCACCATACACCAATTAAACTAACAAATGCTTTCCTCAGGTCTTGACACAGCAAGTCATCAAGACATGACACATATTTCAGCAGGATAAGCAACACCGAAGGTGAAGTGGATTCTCCTCGAAGCCAGGGTTGACCTATTTCACGAGGTTACAGAGTTAGGATTTACGGGTCATTGAATTCTCCAGCTCAAGTGGCTGAATAGTGAACGAGCTTGGTCTTTTACCTTGGAGGTCTAGGGTTCGATCCCTCTCGTGGTCGTGGATGCAGACCACGGAAGGGTCCGAAATTAAGACGAATAGCTCTCCAGTGCTACCTGGTTTTCAGTGATCTGTCTAACCGTTATTGGTTCGTGGAGAAATCCGACAACTGAAATTAAAAGACATTAATACAGAAGAACTTTTTTTACAAACCCCAATCCGTCGGATAGGGTTTTATAGATCAGGTGTCTAAGTGACTACCGGAATGAATAGACATATCCCCCAGAATTAAAAACAGTAGCTACCATCCTCTAGATTTATAACTTTTTTATTATTGAAAACTAACTCAGAACTTTTATTTTTGTGAGAAATGAGGAACATATCTCAAGAAACAATCAACACAAATATCCTAAAGAGCTGATCACCCAAAGACATTAAGCAATAACCAGTCTTGAAGGCCGATTATCTATCAACAGAAATATACAGAATAGAGCCGGTGAGCAGTTTCACAGAATAAAGTATTCCCTATCAAATCAAAGATGAACATCATGACTAGAATAATTAATTGATTAATTCAAAGTAATCTGGGATTAAGCGTCGGTGGCACAGCGTAGAATGCTCGCCAACCACGCATGTGGTCCAGGGTTCAATTCCCGGCCACAGAAGTACGCCTTTACCTCGCCAAGTCATTAATAAATAAGACCGGTAAAGAGGAAAGGCTGGGCATGAGGTTAGCAACCCCATCCCGTAAGAATAACCGCCACTGCTACTGAAACTTCAAGCCTCTAGCTTGAAGCCCTATGTTCCACTGGGGGAACGTAAAGGAATTAAAAAACGAATCTAAGATTAATAATTAGATCACTAACAAAATGGCGTAGTAAGTGAATTCGGCCATTGTGCGGTGGGGTTTAATTCTATCATACAAAGCTGGAATTCCTAACACAGTTTCTCACCAATATAATTTCCATAACTATGATTGTGGAATATAGCGGCGTCGCTTATCTCCAGTGGTAGAATACTTGCAAAACCATAGAATTGATCCGCGGTTGAATTCCCGGTCGACTCACTCACTCACTCCTTAACCTCGCCTGGCTGGTGACAGGCACGGTAAAGTGAGGGAAGTTTAGGCGTTAGTCTAGAAAAAATAAACACCACTGCTACTGATACTGCATAGCTCAAGCCTAAAGCCCTACGCATAAGACTAAAATGAATTATAAAAATAACATATCAGCTAGGAACATAGATTATCAGATTACAGACTGGTCATCCTAAGTTTAACTTTACCCACCCACATAAATGGGCACTACTGTGAGTTTCAGACATACAGGCTACTGCATCCTAGTTTTCACGCAGTTTCTAGAATTTCATGTCGCCTAGAGTTGATTCTTCGATGCACAGTACACTGAAACTAAACAGCTCTTCACAGAAACCAAATTCGAATTTCCGCCAGTGTTTACTTTCATTTGTATTTTTAAAATTGTTTTTATCTTTATTTATAGAGTCAAGCGATGCAACCAGATGTCCCTATTCTATCATTATTTCTTACTTTACCGTTAGAGGTATGTTGATATCTTCTAGTATGTTTAATTTGTTATGAAATTGTATTGTATTCAGATTTCAAGTAGTCAGCTACCGGTTCACACTGTCGACATACTTCACCACTTTTTTCTGCTTTCAAATAGCATTACGGGCTGTTATATGCTAGGTGTGACCTATAACTCGATAAAATAAGATCATATCCATTTTGCTTCAGTGAATTTTTATTTCGTGCTTCTCATATGATGTCTTCCTTAATTTCGCACTCCCGATTTGACTGGTTTCAAAGTAGACTTCATCAAGGAAAGAAACCACCTTGTAGCAATGGTTGACTTCTTTTTCTCTGGTGTGGAATTCATTAGAAATGCTTACCCACAACTGCATGCAAGCGTCGAACAAAACACCGTTAACTCTTTCTGCAAGCATGTTGCCTTTCAGCGGTAAATAAATATCATTCTACTGTTCCACCACTGTTCTACTGGTATTGAGACTCCTGTCTGGACTGGATGTTACCATGAGAAGTAGGGACTATTGAATTTCATACACGGTCTTGAGTGTAGAAACCTACTCTCCAACAACAACACTGAACACTGGCTGCTCTGTGTTGCTTATTGACAAAAGTTGGAGATGAGTTATTTTTTTAAAATCGTGTAGTCACCGGTCTACCTAATGGTCCTGGTTTCTGTATAGAGAACGAGGTCGGTTTAGTGTGTAATCCCTGCTGCTGCTGCTGCTGACTTCTGTAGTGGGATGAAACAAGTGCTTGGTTCCCTTTTTGTTATTCAATTGTTCTTTAAACGAGGCTGATTATTGACAATTTATATTCATTAAGAAAACTCATTAAACCTCCTTTTTCATCTTTTACAGATTCCGAGATATTTGTTATCGGAATTAAAAAACATTGAGAAATATACAAGTGCTCAACATAAAGATAGACCAGCTCTTGAAAAATGCATTCAAGGTAAATTTTTGCATTACTCTTCAAGCCACATGTCTTTTCTTGTCACAATGTCAGTTTATTCCTTTACATTCCCAATGGAAGATAGGGCTTCAGGCTAGAGGCTTGAAGCTTCGGTAGCATTGTTGTCTATTTTTATGGAATGCGGTTGCTAGCGAATGCCCAACATTTCCCCTTTACTAACTAGTCTTATTACTTGCTTAGTGAGGTAAAGAAGTGAGCCGGTGGGGGATCGAACCCTGGACCACATGAGCGGTTGACGAGCATTCTACCCCCGTGCCATCGATGTACCTTGTCACAATGACGAATACATTACTGTTATGAGTGACAGCTGAAGGTGAATGGGCAATCTGCGTCTCGGCCAGGATTCGAACTATGCGCCCCCGGGATCACTAATCCATCCAAGATAACTCTAGATGGTTTCACCATAGAATACACCATTGTTTCGTCTTTCCTATTACCCAATCTATTTCTGACTGATTAAATTTGCTAGAGCTTGATATCTATATGATACATTTCATATTCCAAATATTTTTATCCTGGATTTCATTTGTATAATTACCACATAACTGAGTCATTGGTTCAGGAGTAGAATGCCTGCCAGACAAGAACATAGTCCTGTTCTTGTTCCCAACCGACGCCCTCTTAAACCTCGTTTAGCCAGTAGTAAGCCGGGCAAAGAGGGAAAGTTGAGCGTGAAGTGGTTAGCAACGCAACGCTACCTCGGAAGAACACAACACCTTGGAAGCTTAAGCTTGAAGCCCACTTTCCACTCAGAATGCAAAGGAAAGAAGAAAAAAATATACCACATAATATATATTACACAAAATTTGCATTTAACAGTGAATTCAACAGTCATTCACATAGATTTTTAGGGAAATGCAGACCTGTTTAACAACTGGAATAGTTTGCCTGTACTTGTTCAATTCCTACTATGACACCAGACATCTCATCTCAGTCCCAATCAATTATGCCTTCCATCAATCAGTATGTGCCATCTGTGTGACTGTCTCACTAACAGTTTTCATTACCAACTCAACCATTATTAACATGTGATGATGACATATTATTATTATTATTTCAGAAGTCATTTTCAACCAGCTAACATGATTTTCTTTTTTTAAAACAAAAGTGTTCGTTACATTTTGTGATGATAGTTTCATAAGATGAATAAAGGTCATGACACTTCATATTTACAGTGTATCGAATATCTAACAGTTCTCTCTCTCTGTCTCTGTCTCAATGTATCAATTGATAAGAATCATGGTTAGACTTTGTGCATATAAAAATTTATTGATTGTGTAATCGTGTGTGTATGAGCTACATATAATCACAGTGATTGACTTATTTGCTTGAGATAGACAACAAAATCAAATAATAATTATAAGTATATGGTATCGTTTAATTGATTTGTTTTAGCTTTTGGTAAACCCTTGGCGTAGTTATGTAATCAGAACGCAGATGAGTAGTAATCACACGTTATTAGTATATTAGGAAGTGAGCCTGTTTTTAAAAGTTTGTCTTCTTTTTTCGTTAGTTAGTTTTGGTGTTCAGTTAATTGATTTCTCGGTGTGAGTAGTAATCAGATAAAAATGATTGCAAAACTTCTGAACACAAATAGCCAACTACGTAATGAATGACAAGACAGTGAAGTAAAATATTTCACTAGTTTCAAAATTCAATTTTCTTAAGTATTTTTTGTTGTTGTCCTGAATACTATGCAATCACATCCATGTTAAGTGCGTAAGATAATGAGTAGCTAATAAATTGGCCGACAATATACTGAGTCGAACTAAAATCACAGAAACAAGAGACAATCAAAATTACACTATATCAAAGGGGATGAATTTAAAGCCAAGGATTAGGTAAGCAAATAAAAGAGAATAAAGGCATCAAGTTACCAGGGTTGCAACAAAAGTCTGATAACTGCTTCTTTCCGAACACATAAATCGGGTTTAAGCCTTTGATGGAGATTACTTTGGTGAACTAGAGGAGAATTGAGTTTTCCTGTATACTGATAATTTTAAAGGATTTTGCGATTTCCATCTCATGATCCGTATCAAGGAGATGCCTGGTAATGTCACTTTTGTAGGCGTTTGTTCCCTTGAGACGTAGGCTTTGAGGTACATATTCAGAAAATTGGATGTGTGCCCTTTCTGCTCCCCTAATGTAACTTCTCCCGCGGATACACGTAAATTTGTATCTATCGACCTTTGACTGCACCAGAGAGCATGTTGTCGGATAGACAGGAACCAGCTACCATCTAAGTACTTACCTGATTTTGATAGGCAGTCTTAATGGCAGGCAGGTGAATTGCTAGGTTTTCTAGTGAAGGTAATGTTGAGTACTAATAAGATTGTCGCTAACCATTAGGAGCTTCTACTCGCTAGTATGTGAACTAGTTTTGCTGTGGGTCGGCACCACTTAGACAAACAGAAAGAAATGGAAGCTCGTTTCGTTCTCATGTGTAACTTTTCAAATCTGCACTCTGATAAACCCAATCAAGAATCAGATTCACAAGAGTGAGATTACGAAGTGAACATGCGATTTGCAAGACTGTCTTTTATGAATTCTATCTTTCATCAATCCTGACAATAATTAATACCATCGTCCACTGTCATCTATCAGTGAATGCCTACAAACCCAATCATGAATTCTTCTTATTATTATTTCAGGTATTCCACTACACGTTGATCATTAATGAACAGATAATCACTATTCAATTGAATTTTAGACTTTCCCGTCGACTGATTGGACCGAAGTGCTCGGTCTCAGGTTGACATGTCGACTTTCTGTGCAGATGCTTCGACAATGTCTAGGCATGTAATTAGATAAAGCTTTGGGGTTGGAAACTGTGGGCACTGGGTTCAAGCCTCGCTGAGAACATCATCACTCACTCACTGGGGAATGCAGGTACATCTACTGACTGACGAGTGAGTCCCAGATAGGACGAAATGCGCGTTATCCTGGATTCCACTGCTAGTCGTCATCACCACTAATTAGAGAATCACTATCTTCATCCCACGCAAATTTCGTTTTTGAAAATAATTTACTCATACTTTACTTTGTATAAGTAGTATGAAATAACAACCAAAATACTATCCGTGTTTTGTTTAACATATAGGACACACTTGTCTTGTGTACAGTGAAACGATCGACTTCTTGAAACATGACTGATATGATGTCTATGCCTAAATATCACTTCTGTTTTGTTTTCCAGCTCTAAATGAAGCACTGAACAACCAGTCGTCCCCGATCCCTCCCAACGACATAGACAGTGTCAATAATTTAATTTTAAAAGATGTGAGTTATCTTTCCAACACTCAGTGTCCTGAGAATGACCATCAATCAAAAAAGAATACCTCTCATATTTTTGATACAAACAAGACATCACCATCTACTGGTGGTGAGGCGGTAGACAACGCAGACTCACCTGTCGTCTATCCGAAGAAAAGCGTCACTGAGAATACACAATTAGCCAAACTGATGAAGTATCTGCTACCACCACTATTTCCATATCCAAACGATTCAGAAACATTCAGTCCATCTGAATGGTCTTCAGTTAATCATCATATCATTTATAAAAGTTATCTTTTATGCACTTTGTGCTCAAAACAATATCCTGATTTAATTAAAGAGGATGTATCCTATCGTGGTCCTGTAAGTTCATGTTTCTTTGATAAATTCCTTTCGTCAAAATATCATATTTAATCTTATCTCTGTCGAGATTACTTTCAATTCCCCTCTGAAATAATAATAGTAATAATTATAAGATTTATAACTCAGGTAAATGATTCCATTTTGATTATGTTCTCTGAGCTGGTTGATTTAACTTCGAAGCTTTCGTTGTCCCTCCAGATGTAACACCTTCAATGCAGACTTCAATATGAAGTCAAATTATTTGATTTCTCCATGAATGATGATATAATTGTATCTCCTGACACCTTTCGCCGTGATTGATTGTTAACTTCCATCTTTTTTGATCATTTTTATTGACTTGGAATTTGAAATTTTTCGTTATGTGATTTATTCTTGATTAGTTGGAAAATTTCATCTATAGTTATGTTCAAGCATTTATTGGTTTTTGTAGGGATTTTGTTTGGAGGATTTCATCATGGTCTACGAGCTCACCTGCTGGATTTGAAACTCGGTGGGTGCTTTCTGATGAAGGATCCCAAGCTAGGACAAAACAGTTGTCCATTACTCCCAGCTGGTTTTCCAATGCTTCTCTAACTGATGTCAGCTATGGTAGTGTGTTGTCTGTTAATCGCTGATGCATCTTAGTTCCATACTTGTAGGAATTAATTCCCTGGTATTATCGCTGTTTTCTCTGTTTAAAATTTCTACACTTTGCCAATTAAACTAGAATCCATATTAATTAATCTACATGCATCGATGTGAAAGAATATATGTCGTGTCTTTTGACAATATTAACAAATTGAATGAACTGCGATAAACACTAAATTAGTCAAAGTGGGCATCCCATCCCATTCCATTCAGAGTCGAAGAACATAAATTAGCTATCAAAAGGCACGATATGTATTCTTCTTCTGTATTCATTCATTCACGTAGTCAGCTATGGAGATCAGTTTGATTCGGCAGAAAAAGTAGAAATTCTTGACGATGAAGACAGCGAGTATGCCAGGGAATTCCTCGAAGTCTGCCTGGTCTTGATGAGAAGAATCAGCAGTTAGTTAACAGGCACATTACTATGGATCGGATTTATCAACTAGTACGAAATAGGCCAGCTAACAGAAAAAGTCAAATTCCAAGTCAGTGAAAAATGATCAATAAAGACGTGAATTCACAGCCAATCACTAAATAGCTTGTCAGAAGATACAATGGTATCATCATTCATGGAGAACACATATCAGCTCACTTCATGTTGAAGTTGGCGCTGAAGACGTTATTTAAAAGGATAACGAAAGCTTCACAGTTAAATCATCAACCAGATTAGAGGACAATATCAAATTCGAATTCCCCATTGAATCATCTCTGTTGATATACTGGTTTTTATTACAAATACTTTCATGGTATATCCAAGTTAATGTGATGTTACTTTGTTGATGGTGGCTGACATCAGACAGAACCCAAGACACACAAGATTCGTTCTATTTGAAAAAGTCCACCAAGACATACTTCTATCCCAATGAATAATGCTATTCGTGGCTTAATAACTAAGTGGGTAACGTTTCAATGTTTGGAACAATGAGTATTGGATCCCCATATGTCAGTAGGAACACTGCCACTCACTTGGATACAGATAAATATTCGCAGATAGGATGGAACTGACGTCCCTAATCCCAGTGTTAGCTGCCAGCACCTATACAACATTACATGATTTCAGTAAGTGTCCAGTGAAGATTATTACTGAAACACCCAGAAGTAACCGTCAGTGCCACATAGTCATTAACACTCCTTATACGTACTCCGCTGTTCTCATTAGTGTATAATCTGTTTTTTTGTTTTGTTCATTCCAACAGGTTTTTGCATATTTACTAAATGATGCCCTACTATTAGTTGTCTCTGAAAAAGATGTCCTTGAAACTTGTCGACCATCCTGTTTAGCTTATGAACCCATACTCCTCGATTCGATTGCTTTTCAGGATTATGAAATATCAGGTTAGTAATATCTCATTTTGTCTTGTTTTCTGAACAACGATCCACTTTTAATAATGTGGTTTACGTTTTCGTAATTAGTACTGTAGTTAGCAAGAATAATTGGATTTTTAGGCGTGCGATTGATTAACGGTTCAAATTTCCCTTGCTCAATATAACTTCTCTGTCAAATCCAGTTATTTTCTGCCTGTATATGTATGGCTAAATAAGTTCATTTAAACAAACAAAAGACGCCAGCTAAATGTATGTTAAATTCGTTTGTATTCATGAAATCTGTCCTCCAATGTCACCCTTCTAAAGTCCAGTGGATAGCGCTTTCACATTTTTCTAAGGATAGTTGTTGAGTTTCAGTGTTGGTGGGTACATCGTTACTGTCGTGTTTCACACACGACTGAACGTGTATCATGAGTTCCACTGCCAGAGACCATGAGATAGGTAGTTTAACTTTTTTCAATTTAAATAATTTATAATGAATCAATCTGACTCGGCACTCAAGTCATTGCAGGAAGTTCGTAACACCTACGGCCTGGAAACCTATAATCTATGACTATTCAGTTTGTAAAACATGATCAAAATCATACTGTCTGATCTAAATATCTTGGTTGGTGCCAGTTGTAAATTTCCAAGAAAGACTGGGCTTTACTTCATCGAGACACAACTATGTTGATTTAGACAAAGAGGCACTCCTGTAGGGTAACACGCTGTCTTATTCTAATTTGCCAACCAGAATACTAAAATGTGGTGCTTGAGTGGAATTCACCTATCCACCGAGAGGCATTTATTTATACTGAGCAGCAGTTCGCTCTATCCTACTTTATGAACAGGAAATGTGATTGTCAATCAAAAGACTGTGAAGACATTACTAACTCTAACTACAGCAGGTGTCTATGTTCATATGAACATCTTGAGGTTAGATGTAAAAAGTGGAAGTCAGGCTATGCGGTTATGCGTCAGTTGGGATAGTTAGGAAACGTTTTATCCACAGTGGGACACAGCCGTCCTCCAAAAATGTTAGCTAAATTAGGAGGATTATGATGCGAAGAATGAATATATGTGATTGACGCAGAGGTTGTATGACTTCCCCCTGAAGTCGGTGGCGGACAGTTCAATAGGCCTAGCAAGAGTTCTCAGGCGACTAAGAAACATTGGTTGATGAATCTTGATGAAGTAAGTGGAATTGGTTCACGCTGACATACACACACATTGACAAACGTTTTCAAAACTCTTCATTAAGTTTCACTATTTTTCCATAAGTACGCAACATTCCCTTCAAAAAACAAAGTGGATTAACCAGCTTATAACGATTTTTCTTTCCAATTTTCACTTCATTTCAGCTTTATCATTTATGCTAAAACTTAAAAATGGCACAACATTTCAATTCGATTGTACAACATTTGAAATTAAACTAGTTTGGAAGACTCTTATTGAACAACAGATGACAACCAAATAACTGATCTATTAAAACTCCTAGACTCCTAGACTTATTTTATTCCACATTGACAACTTCATGTGAAACTGTTCAGTTCAATTCCTTCAAATCTCTCTCCCTTTGTTGATGTATAGATATTTTGAATTTGATGCTTTTATTTTTTTATATTTCATAATTATACTACGTGTAAGTTATAGTAGGCAAATTTCAATCCGCGCTTTCTTTCCAATGGTATTTTGAGTAAAAAAAAGAAATTCTTGCTTTTTCAATCTATTTCTACTGTTCTAATTACAATTAGTGAATACTTCAGTCTTAATCAACTCCAGTGTGATTTAAATCCTATTTTATTATGCGAAGAAGATATATAATACTATCAGGGTGGAGAAAACTCCTTTAACTTTATTTCGTTAACGTGTAGTGCACGACGAGAACTCCTGTGTAACCTAGTCACTCTTCTCAATAGTACTCAATTCCAGTAGAGCTTTAATATAATGTGCATTGATGACATTTGAGGGGATATTTTGCATGTCAGTCGATTTGTCATTCCTATCATCTTACCGCTTTCACGTATGTGTGTGTGTGTGTACATGCACACATCTTTGTGAATTCACGTATATTAGAGAATTTCCAACAACCTCTTTTTATTCCTCATTTATTTTCAAAGATTTTCTATTTATTAGCGAAGAGGACATCTTACTACTGCAATTCCTCACTTTAATTTCTCTTTTCATTGACAATTAAATATTATTGAATAAAACGTATTTTACTACTTCTATGATTCTTCCTACCCGTTGTGAGGGGACGTATGGCTTATTATTGGCTTAATACTGGACTTTCCAGGCACTAGGTGCTCCGTTCTAACTCCACCATGCCTACGTGTAAGTTCGAACAACTGGGTAACCAGTGAGAATGCATACTTATGTTTATGCATTGACTTAGTATCCGTTAAACCCCTATTTAGTAGATGGTGTCTTTGAGTGACGCTTAACCAGTTTTCATAAACTCAAAATTCTTCTATAGTTTCGTTTGTAAGGATTAGTTATGTTTCACGAGTTGATCACGAACTGATATCAGTTAGAGAACCATTGAAAACCAGGCAGTACTGGACAGCTGCTGTGTCATCCAAACTAGGATGACACAGCAGCTGTCAAGTACTCCATGGTTTTCAATGGTTCTCTAACTCATCAGTCCGTGATCAACTCGTCAAAATTCTTCACTGACCGCTCAAACAGCAGCAGTGTTGAAGGAAAAGAAGAATGGGTCACATGGAAGTATGCCAAGGAGACCAATATATATGAATAGAAGGAATATGAACATAAATTTTGGGGAGAGCGATCATTCATCTTATCTGACTGTGAGACTGTCCGTGTTAACCAACATACAAGAAGCTCAGACATCTCATCGAAGGCTGTTTCCTATAACTTTTGGAGGCTAACCAGTAGTTTATTTAGCTAGTCCAATTGAATACATACTCGTCTCAGGTCTAGCTGAATTTTCGTCCAACTGAGGTACTCCACAAACTCAGCGCCTAGTCCAAGATGCAGCAAAAATCTAGGATTAACACTGCAAGTGTCGGTGAGTTATTCCTTCTGAAAAACCAACCAAAACCCGGAAAGCACGAATCAGACACACCGTTTTTCTCCCCATAATCAAGTTTCTTTTTTACAGTATGCTTCGAAGATGACAAACTAAGAGAAGCAACATAATAAAAATGATGACATGAATAAAACCAGTCCCATGGATTGCATAAAACCACGGAATATCTTCGCAAGTCGGGATTCGTGAGAAAGTTACCAGCGAATATACCCAGACACTTTATTACTACACTCACCAATTCTTTATTTCTCTCCTTGTTTAGGGCAGTGAAGCACTCTTCAGTGTGCAGTAAAGTTGGTTGCTTCTTTATCTAGAGCCTCCTTTTTCTGTGTTGCATGGGCAGCTGAGTAAACACCTGTTCGTCAGTCAGAACCAAGTAAAATCCTACTGCACCGGCGAGGTATTGGGTAGGCCGCTCTCAGTAGTTCCTCAAGTAGTTTCTCTCTCCACTTAACCAATTTTAACATTGTCTCCACTAAGTTCTCGTTTCCGGGTGGTAAGTCAAACTCCTAATCTAGTGTGAGTGTGTCAGACACTATTCAAGATGAAACCCACAGACACTCCTGCGGAATATACCAAGTGGTCAACCTCTAGGGATAAAAATAACCATGGCACCAGCGCAGAGAATGAGAAATCAACGAAACAGCGTCAAGACTTTCTTGGTATAAAGCATCAATTCCAATGTCTGGAGATATCTGTCGACTGAGTGCAAAACCAGTAACCTCGATAGACCTTCAAGGCAAAAACACATAAGGGAGTTTTGGGCTTAGGCTGAAGAGACACGAACGATAAACACCTGCTAACTGATTTTAGATGAACCTGCTATTGACAAAAACTAGTTTGCAGATATTGACTACTGTGTAGCAGTAGAAGATGCACAAAACTTCGAAACGACTGATACTAACCACTCTGGTATAGCAAATTCAGTAGTAAACTAAGTTGACGAATGGCATTGTTACATTTCCGCTAATAGTACTACATTAATGGCCTTAACCTGTTCCGTGCAGATGTACTACATGTATTCAGCATCTTGATGATGTGGAGATTACATCTAACGACTTGTCAGCTGACGTCATACCCACTAAGTGAACTCGATGTGAAACCAGAGATGCACCTCTGCAACAACATTCTTCAGAAAGTAGATTGTAGGGAGAGGCTAATGAAGGGCCTATATAAAACGGTTCGCTACAGCCACTCGGATGCAGTAGATAACTGAGGAACTTGGAAGCATAGGACGAGCGACCAAATAGAAAATATATCTTCTCTATTATTTTTAAGGCTCTCCTTATCTAGTGATTGACGAATGTCTGGGAAACCAACCCGCTAGACTACTTACACAGACTCGAGATCGCTTCTAGTTGGCTTCAACTAGAAATAACGCTCGTGATTGCTGACCCGTGGCTACGAACCCTGCTAGGCCTGAGCACTACTAACCACACTACCTGCTGACTGTTTAGACTGACCCACCTAACCTGGTAGCCAGGCTGCCCTTAAAACCATCCCAACTAGCGAAGGCAGAATATAACACCTACAGCTGCCAAGAGATGTATTTTTTGACCATGTTTATTCGAACCAGTTTCCTGTCCGTTGGAGGCAACAGACTCTGTTGGGACTTAAACGTCTGCTCCTTCACAAAAGACCGGAGCAATACGATCAGCAACTTTGTTAGAGTATTAGTAGTACCCAGTTGTTGATCACATGACCAAGCTGCTGCGTAATTGACTTGCTATATTGGCTTGTATTTGGTTGACCAGCAAATTATCGACTTATCGTCCGTCTCTGAATACTGCTTGCTTTGAAATCGAGTTGGTTATTACGTACGAAAAATACTATTTTCAGTTCCGGAGACTGGCCTTCTGGCTACAGCGGACTTTCCTGATGTCGTCGTCTCCAACCATAATGTACAGGTAGATTATCACACCACAACGAAGCTGGCGACCTCGTATCCCTTGAAAATCATACTGTTTCAATTCGCACGGATAAACAAATTGATCGTTGATGTTGGAACCGCCGAAGTGCAGTTAATTAACGAACTTATTTGATCTCCTAAAATTGACCTTCCATGTGGTCGACTAGGTGTTCCCCGCTTCACTTGCCCTGTGCAATACTTTCGAAAATAAAGGTTTATAAGTACTACTGGTCTTCTACATCGGTCGGTAATTTGAACAATTATTTCGATAGCACTCAGTTTACATATCGATGAACCTATTTCGTTCACATTATTCAGGTCCCACAAGCTCAGCATAAACTCTTTTGAAAACTCTACTTCTGTGGTTGTGTACTCCCCAGGAGCTACCAAACTTAGGTTTCCAGAATTTGATCAACCTGACACAGAACTATGGTTTGCTAAACTAGAGCACTACTTTCACCGGTACAGCATTAGGTCTGAAACGACAGGGTGTTCTCAGTTACGTTGTGAGGTCAGCGAGCAGGTGCGGAACCTCATACATAATTCCCCACAATGCCCAGTGTTTAAACGCAAGGTGATAAAACGTCTCTCCATGTCAGAAAACAATCGTGTACAAAACTTTCCTGACGGAGAGAACATAGAGATACATCCCGATCACAGTTCTTGATCCACGTTCAACAGCTTGTAGGGAGCAGCATGATAGGCTGTACTGAAGCAAGTTTGAATGGAAGCCCTACAGGAGGATGTGCAGCAGATACTGTACGCGCAAGATCCCGACTTTTCTTTCAAACAGCTAGCACGCACTGGGGACCGAATGTTGGGAGGAGACGATTTACAATAGGGTGAGTGAACCATATCAGTGTGAGAAAAGACCTAATAACCCCAGAACTATTGGCCAACGTTTGGTCACTAACGCAAACAGCTAGCACAAGGCAGACAGAGTAGATCGTTCAATAGGGAACATTTCCCGCCAGATAGTAGACCCAGGCAAACTAGATCAACGGGCCAATTCTAATTTAATACTTTATATAGAAGGGTAAGTTAACATGCAATGCGTGCCACTTTCACAGGTACAATAAGACAGGTTATAAATTGCAATGGTGGAGTATCATACGTACTTTTTCAGAAGTCTAAGTAGTAGAAACAACCGGAACTGGTTTCCACATATGCTAAACTGTTCACTTAGGTCGCCATCAAGCTTGAGTGCCAAAACAAACTCCGTCTCGCTTTCGACTGACAGTTATAGTCAACCAATGAAATGCCTACACTTAGGTGAAAGTCCTCGGGAACTGCGAAGTTGTACACAACATTATCATGCATCCATGAGCGATAATCCACCATCCCGAGTACATATACAACACACACACAAGAGCTGTCATAAGCTCCTCGGAATAATAGAATGCATACGCAGTGTATAACAATAATATATTCCAGCTTTATGTACATGAGGGACGCCAGTTTACAGGCATCATCAAAATGACAAGTAATATATACACGGAGTAAGCATATTTACAATATTCACTCACACAAGATATATATATATATATATATACAGGGAAAGGAAATGGAATAATGTCAGTAAGCACACTTTACATAGGTAAAACAATTTACATGATATAATCCCAGGCAACATTATTGTTCGAGTTTGTCGAAAACGCGCGTAACAACCGAAGGCTGCCTCACATGTGGTCGGTACAGTGGTCTGTTTACAAAAGAATACAAATGGCCTGTAAAACGCCAGTTAGTTCATCGACAATAATGTTTTCAGCAATGTATTCTGCAACAGGCTCACCACAGAAGTGAGTGTGCAGCTTAACGTGCAAATAAGCATTAAGGAATCAGCAATCGGTGGATCTTTTAATTCATTTCGGTCAGGAACCAGAATGACTGCTAACTGAACCTTTCAAATTGATGAATGAAGCTTGGAGGAGCAGAATATCACCATCAAATTAGTCACTGAGATTCGAAATGCAACTGTCAGCAGACTCTCATTATTTCACAGATATCCCGATTAGTTGGCGCTGTATAGCTAGTGATTTGGATTTGTAGGCATGATCAACATGTGGATGAATATACAGATGTGTACTGCAGATTGTTTGCCATGCGGGTTCAGCGAATTCCACTTCGTGTGGGGTTTGATTATTCTGCGATTCTGATATATTCCGCAAAGTATCGCCGTGATCACGGGAAGTAAACCTATGCGTTAAATACGTTATTTAATGGA